TTATTATTATTATTATTATTATTATTTATTGATGAAAATAAATATTCCACCAACATTTCTAGCGCATTAGCTGCTGATTTTTATTTAAAAATAAATAAAATAAAAAACAAAAAAAAACAATTAAATAATAAAGAAAAAAATCTCCTACGCGAGGACTCGATCTCGGATCTCTCAAGTGACACTCTAGCGCTCTGATAACTGGTCCATTGCGACTGTTGGACCAGCGCGAGCAAAATGGCATACATACATGCTATCAGTCCACTGTCTCTGTTTGTTTTCACCACACATTTTTGGTGAAATTTTTTTTACTCTCTTTCTGTGTTTCATGGTATACTCGCTTTATACCACGTTCATTTTCGTTGTATAGGAACCAGTTTCAAACCACTTTGTACGATGGTATAATTGTGGTTTACAACGACAGACATGTAGTATAGAATGCTAGTATAGTATATAAACCATATGTCTGTCAGGGCTATTAAGTATCGTTCACTTGTGGTGGCTGTATTTGCAAGACAGCACGCTATGCGCTGGTATTCAGTCATCCTCTAATTTCTTTTAGGTATCGATACAGTCATACAAAGCAGCAGTATTGATTGAGTTTGCAATAGTTGGCGTTCAACGCAAGCCAGTCTCTGGTTTTTACATTGCTCAAAGTACCTAACATCATTCAAGTGGTACATTTCGTCAAGAAAAGGATACAGGTGAGTCTTCTGTTCTGTAAATAAAAATGTTTGCATGTTCTCTCGAGACTAGAACTTAACCTTACACGACGGAAAATTTATGAGAAATGAAGACGTGAACTGATAAACAAAGATCAACTATACTATAAGAGAGTTGCGCAAATATGTATCACTTAAAATATTGTTAATTCAACACTACTCTGAGAAATTGTGAAACATCTCAATCTTCTCAACTTATTTTATGGACATGATTCGAAGACAAGCACTTCTTTGGGTGTGATGAATAAGCTGTTATATTACTTGATTCATTATTGTTATATTCATTACTGTTTTTCAGATAATAATTATAATTGTCTATTTATATATTTTCAGACGTTTATTTGAAATGTTAAAGCGTAAGAAAAAGTCCAATGCCAAAAAATCGGAAATACTTTCTTGGTTGTTCACCTACGAGTTGCAACTATTACTCAGAGATATTTGTTACGGTCAAATGAACGATTCGACATCATTTAGTTAATACTTCTTTATAGGTCCCAGAGTAATGTCGCAGCAATCGCGGAAAATAATTAATTTTGAATGTGAGGAGTGTGGGAGTCAATTTGGCGACGATTACAAGACAAGACACGAATCATCTAGACACAATGGGAAACGTGTAAAAGTCAAACATGTCGGAGCTCCGTTAAATCCATTCGAAGCTTCTAAAAAGAAAACTGCAAACTCAACTGTTCTGCCTTTGCCATCTTCATCAAATCCTAATCTTGATGGATCTGAACTTCCAACTGCAACAGGACATCTTCCTGTATCTTCTTCACGCGAATCACTGCAAATTAACCAGACTGCTGATGCTTCTACTCAACTCACCCTTTAGCAGTTAGATGATGTGCATATGTCATATTCACAAATACCGTCACTTTCATCATCAGAACTACATTCAATAGATTTGCCCCTATTATCATCCCGTCCTACATCACCATCAAAAGACGAAGCTGGTCTGAATTTAACTTGGATTGATTTTGCCGGCAAAGTTGCAGAATTCGCTACAAATTTTGAACAAGTTAATCAGCTCTTGAGTCGAATGAAGAACGAAGCAGCACCAAATTTGACTGCGTTTTTGGTAGACATGATTAATTGTTTAACGAAAATTAACGAAGAAAGTGATGAGCTGCTGGAACTCGCCAAAATAGAAGTAAAAAACATGACAGAAATAAAACGCATAATTTGCACGTTGGCAGCGACGTTTTTGTAGATCATGACCCTTGAAAACGTACAAAAATATCAACAGCTAATGGGCGAAGATACTTAAGATCTCTTGGACCATATCAGCCTAAACTCGACATTTTCCCTAAAAATGCAGATATACCCTCATCTACACAATGTCGATTTAATCCAGCGTGGTATTCCAAGTTCCTATATTTAGAATACAGCCCTTACAAAGATGCTGCATTCTGTTTTGTTTGCTACTTATTTCCGGAAGGGCCAGGAAGATCAAACGTTCATCCGGAATGGATATCAGTGGGTGTCCGTCAGTGGCATATAATGGAAAGCAGAGGACAAGATGATAAAGGAAAACTTCATTCGCATTTTACTTCTGAGTCTCATGGATTAGCTGTACGCGATTATAGCAATTTCGTGAACGAAGGAAACCACATTGATGCTTTATTAGACAAATCTAGCAAAGCACAAAAAATTCAAAAAAAACAAGAAGATGAGTATCATTCCAAGATTTTGCAAGTCTTGATTGATGTCGCAAGAACGTTGGGAAGACAAGGATTGGCTTTTCGTGGTCACGAAGAATCACCTGGGAAAAGCGATGGGAATTTCAAACAGATGGTCCATCTCGTTTCACGTCATTGTCCTTTATTAAAAAATGGTTGGATGAAACATTAAAAAGACCATATCACGTGACTTACCTAAGCTCGATCACCCAAAACGAGTTTATTAATCTCTTAGGAACTAAAACTCAAGAAGCTATCGTAGATGAAGTGACAAATGCTTGTGTTTTCTCTGTAATGCCTGACACAACCCCGGACTCATCGCATCAAGATCGCCTAGCTATTAACATCCGGTACGTGCTTGACTCTAAAGACGGACCTGTTCCTGTTGAACGATTTCTAAGAATGGATGCCGTTCTGACGAAAATACCGGGAGAAGAGTTAGCTGAAAAAATTCTGTCTGCTGTTCAGTCAGTGGGGATCTCGATGAAAAAGATCGTCTTTCAGTCGTACGATTTCGCCAAAAACATATCAGAAAAATACATAGGTACGCAGAAAAAGTTGTCAGAAAAATGTGATAAAGAAATCTTTTATATCCCTTGTCATGCTCATCGAACAAATACTTTTGTCGAAACAGCATGCGAGCGCATTGATTACAGAATTTTTTAATGTTCTAGACTCTTTATATGTTTTTTTTTTTATGGAAGTACCAAACGTTTTAAACGTTTGCGCGAAGAACTAAACAGCATTCAGAATTCAATACAATTGAAAAATTTGTCAAAAACACGATGGACTGCTAGAGCTGTATCGGTCAAGGCAGTGTGGATTTCTCCAGAAGGTATTATAGATGTTCTCAAGAAAATCAAAAATGATTCAGAATATTTTGATAGCAAAACTCGTACTTCTGCTACTGGCCTGCTCAAAAAGATTTTAGATTTTGACTTTGTAGGTTCTTTATATTTCTGCAAAAATGTTATGTTTAAAGTGAAAAATCTAACAGAAAGCTTAGAAGCTGAAGAATTGAATGTCATCGATGCTGTGTTGTTGATTAAAAGTACTTCAGCGTCATTTGAAAAAATGGACGATGACATTGAAATTAATGCATTGATTAGCAGCTCAGTTTTATTTGCAAAATGATTTTGTAAAGCATCATAGAACGCGCCGTGTACCAAGAAGATATGATGAAATTCCAGAAACAGCTTCCAACTTTGAATTCATTACATTTTATCGAAAATAATTTAGATCTGTGCTGCAAGTTTTCAACAGTTGTATCAAAGACAATCTCAAACAGACTTTTTCGATGTTGATGCTAATTCAAAAAATTTTTCAATTCCCTGTGGATGAAAGCAATGTAACAATGGAAACAGTTGAATCAATTATAAAATTGGAACCTACATTATTCAAAGAAGAACCAGAATGCTTGCTAGCTGAGTTGCAAATTCTTCTCGAATCATGTGATCAATGTACAAATTTTGGAGATATTTCCAAAGTAGTGTTCAAGTTGAGAGGCGTTATCCACCTCGCATACAAGCTTGTTTGTTATATCATGACTGCTCCAGTGTCATCGGCTTCCTGCGAACGCTCTTTCAGCAAACTGAAATTAGTTTTGAATGATTTGCGGACAACAATGAGAGATTATCGCTTGAATTCGTTAATGCTGCTGTATTCTGCGAAGGATAAAGTAGATGAAATTGACTTGCGTGAAATCGTTAAGAAATGGTCAATTTTAAAACCCCGCAGTGTGAAAACCTAAAGCAGATATTGCTATTTATGAAAACCGTATCAAAAAATATTTAATAATCACTTCGTACTTTGATAGTTGTAGTAGTAGAGTCATTTATGACTTAAAACATATGAGCGCAAACATATGTTTTATATTCATTACTGAACGTTGTTTGAATAAAATTGTTCAATAAAACATAAGCAGAAGAATGTTATTTTACTTATAACTCATTTCTATTCTACCATGTGTCACCTATTTAGTCGGAAAATTGTCAAGCCTAGGGTCACGATATCGAACCGAAAGTATCGATATGGTACTCATTTAAAGTATCGCTTTAAACATATCGGGTACTCATTAATATCGGAATAAAAATACTCGATATTCGAAATATCGATACCAAAAACCAAAAAATTTATCTGAATATAGGTCTCGCATATAGGAAAAACAGCTCCCCATAAAATACAATCGCCGTTCAGAGTCGACATAAAACTGTAGGCACCCCCTTTGTGCCACAACATTAAGGCCCACGCGACAAATCGGAGGAGAAGTTCGGCCAAACACTAAAGCTGATGCCACATAAAACTTTTGCTTCGCTTTATGTGACAGATTCGCTTTGACAGATAAGATGAATTGTATGAAAATGCACAAAGCACGCCACATAGATCGTTGAAGCTGCAGCGCGAAGCGAAAAGATGGCCAACTCCCATCTTTTTGCGCGCTTTGACAATCAACCGGTTTAATATTTATTTTGTTTCGTTCAAATTCGAGTTTTCATGTAGAAACATAAAACTTAATTACATTGCTGATATTTTTTAAGCAAAATATATAAAATCCAAAGCAATTTTGACGAGTAAAAAAGCAGTACAAAACTGTTTTCTTTGCGTTCTTTGTGGCATACCTTTTGCGTCTGGCGTTTCGCTGGCAAAGTTATAAATGTCACGCAAAGCTACAAAGTTTTATCTGGCATCAGCTTAACATATTGTATAAGCGCCGGACTTTATTATTATTACAACACGTAGTGATTGAGGTGTTGGCTTAAACACCGAGGCCGCGGGTTCAAATCCCACAACATGCAATCCTAACCATAGTACAAATTTCTGTACTTTAGAGCCCAATTTATATTGGGCAGAATTGTTACAGGCCAACTTTATACGCGTGCGTAAAAAGCGATCGATTTGACATTTATGCTCAGTTTTCATTTTGGCGCGACTATGAATTAACAATATTTCTCAGCAAACTTCTGTAAATTTGACAGAAATGCAACTCTGAGAAANCATATCGGGTACTCATTAATATCGGAATAAAAATACTCGATATTCGAAATATCGATACCAAAAACCAAAAAATTTATCTGAATATAGGTCTCGCATATAGGAAAAACAGCTCCCCATAAAATACAATCGCCGTTCAGAGTCGACATAAAACTGTAGGCACCCCCTTTGTGCCACAACATTAAGGCCCACGCGACAAATCGGAGGAGAAGTTCGGCCAAACACTAAAGCTGATGCCACATAAAACTTTTGCTTCGCTTTATGTGACAGATTCGCTTTGACAGATAAGATGAATTGTATGAAAATGCACAAAGCACGCCACATAGATCGTTGAAGCTGCAGCGCGAAGCGAAAAGATGGCCAACTCCCATCTTTTTGCGCGCTTTGACAATCAACCGGTTTAATATTTATTTTGTTTCGTTCAAATTCGAGTTTTCATGTAGAAACATAAAACTTAATTACATTGCTGATATTTTTTAAGCAAAATATATAAAATCCAAAGCAATTTTGACGAGTAAAAAAGCAGTACAAAACTGTTTTCTTTGCGTTCTTTGTGGCATACCTTTTGCGTCTGGCGTTTCGCTGGCAAAGTTATAAATGTCACGCAAAGCTACAAAGTTTTATCTGGCATCAGCTTAACATATTGTATAAGCGCCGGACTTTATTATTATTACAACACGTAGTGATTGAGGTGTTGGCTTAAACACCGAGGCCGCGGGTTCAAATCCCACAACATGCAATCCTAACCATAGTACAAATTTCTGTACTTTAGAGCCCAATTTATATTGGGCAGAATTGTTACAGGCCAACTTTATACGCGTGCGTAAAAAGCGATCGATTTGACATTTATGCTCAGTTTTCATTTTGGCGCGACTATGAATTAACAATATTTCTCAGCAAACTTCTGTAAATTTGACAGAAATGCAACTCTGAGAAATCACGCACGCAAATTGATTTGGGTTTATCAAATGAGAAAAACTTGTGTGTCTGCGTAGAAAAACTCTCGCCGGTAATATTAGGTTAATAACATTATCCTTCTTCTTCTTCTTTTTTGGCGCTGTAGCCGCCTAAGCGATTTTGGCCGAGTTCAGCAAAGCACGCCAGTCGTTTCTCCTCTGTGCCAACTGACGCCAATTGGAAACGCCAAGTGAAGCCAAGTCCTTCTCCACCTGATCTTTCCATCGCAGTGGGGGCCTCCCTCTTCCTCTGCTACCACCAGCGGGTTCCGAGTTGAATACTTTCAGAGCTGGAGCGTCGGTGTCCATTCGAACGACATGACCAAGCCAGCGGAGCCGCTGTATTTTAATTCGCGGCACTATGTCCATATCGTTGTAAAGCTCATACAGCTCATCGTTCCATCGTCTGCGGTACTCGCCGTCGCCAACGCGTAAAGGACCGTAAATCTTCCGCAAAATCTTTCTCTCAAACACCCCAAGAGCCGCCTCATCGGATGTTGTCATTGTCCATGCTTCTGCGCCATATACCAGCACGGGCATGATGAGTGACTTATAGAGCGTGGTTTTCGTACGTCGAGAGAGGACTTTACTCCTGAATTGCCTACTCAGTCCAAAGTAGCACTTGTTGGCAAGAGTGATTCTGCGTTGGATTTCAATGCTGACATTATTATCGGTGTTAATGCTGGTTCCCAAGTAAACGAAATTCTCTACTTTCTCGAAATTGTAACTGTCAACAGTAACGTGGGTGCCAAGGCGCGAATGCGCTGATTGTTTGTGTGATGAGAGAACATACTTCGTCTTGTCCTCGTTTACCACCAGACCAATTCGCTTTGCTTCTCTATCTAACTTGGAAAAGGCAGAACAGACTTCGCGGTTTTTGTTACCGATGATGTCGATGTCATCGGCATAAGCCAGCAATCACACGCTCTTGTAGTAAATTGTTCCTGAGTGTTTCAGTTCTGCAGCTCTTATTATCTTCTCCAACATCAGATTAAAGAAGTCACATGAAAGGGAGTCGCCCTGTCTGAAACCCCGTTTTGTGGCGAACGGCTCGGAGAGGTCTTTTCCAATTCTGACGGAGCTGGTGGTATTGCTCAACGTCATTTTACACAGCCGTATGAGTTTTGAGGGGATGCCAAATTCAGACATAGCGGCGTATAGG